CAGTAAGAAAATGTAAAAATGTCACGGTGGGGATCACACGAAGTAAAGTAATTTATTGACCTATAATGAATGAAAGCATTTCCGATAACTGGGTGAGTGAAGCCGGTCAAGATCCAAATGAACATTGCGGATTGGCGCGGACTCGGTCCATGCCAAATCGGGCTCATGTCCTTCAAAGGTTGCGGAGCCTTCTACAGTCTGCAAGTGCAAGGACCGGTGGGGCATTGAATTAACCAAACTTTTTCATGGACCACAGTCTCAGGAAGGTTGGATAAGACCAAGATAAGCTAAGATAAGATCGGTCTGAGATTGGTCATTTTTGTTCATTGACATTTGGTTGACATTCACACTTCGTCTGCACTTCGTCAAGTCTTCAAACAGATGGAGAACAGATGTCATTTTCAGTTCTGTGTTTCTTTTGTGCAAAAGATGTGCGCCATCCCACCGCCCTCGGTGGCACTCCTGTTGTCCCTGTTTCTGCCTTTGTTGTCAAGGCCCAGACGGGCGCGCGCTGGGCGCACGGGGATACATGATATGTCAAAAGCCCGTCGAAGGCAATGTCAAATCCAGGTCAAATCCAGGTCAAACCAAAGCCTGTCATAGCCACACGGATACATGATATGTCAAAAGCCCGTCGAAGGCAATGTCAAATCCAGGTCAAATCCAGGTCAAACCAAAGCCTGTCATAGCCACACGATAGCCAGACGATAGCTACGGACTGGCTACGGATACCAACCATACCAGGCGCTGCCAAGAACTTAGAAGTTGATAGACAAATTCTGCATCAGCTATGGCCATGAGCAGACTGTGAGTCCGTAAGCTTTGTCAAACTTTTTGTTGCCCGGGTGGATGCTTGACCCATGGGTGTGCGCAGCTGGGCGATGCTGCGCTGACCCTGCTGACCCATGGGTGTGCGCGGCTGGGCGATGCTCGGCTGACCCTGCTGACCCATGGGTATGCGCAGCTGGGCGATGGTCGGCTGATCTTGCTGACCAATGGTTGTGCGAAGATGCAGAGGCCAGGTGGAGGCTGTGCCGGACTGGTGCCTGACAGAGCGCTTGAGATCAGCTTGAGATGTTTGAGATTGTTTGAGTGTAGTGCGCTAGTGTCAGCTGGTAGTGCTTTACAAAATGGTAGTGCTCAACTGTAAACATTTGCAAAAGGTTCAAGATGTAGGGCTTTGTATGGCTTTCAGTTTTTGTCTGGTAGGGAAACAACAAAACTGTGTTATATGTGCTGGACAAGGCCAGTGTCAGTGTCACAGGCAGGTCATAGGGGCTAACAGGGGGCTAAATTGTAGACTGAAAGCCCTAGCGCCTTATCACAGAATCCAGTCAGAATCCAGTTTTGCTGTTTGCCTACCGGAAAAAAGCAAAACACCATAGCAAGCCAGACATCTTTAACCCATCTCACCCATCAAAAGCCAATGTAAAAAAAATCTTCCAAACAGATAAAAGCATAATCTGCGCATAATCGCCCTGATTGCCCTGGTGGACACCGGTGCACGAATGGCCTTCTTTCGCTTGGGGAACTTCTTGGCCTTTCGGTGCGGCAAAATGATGCTCAGATAACGCTCTTTCAAACTGCATGCATTTGTTTGGTATCACAAGGTTCCAAACAATTTCAAAAATCTATGTACGTCCATGTAACAACCAAATAAAAACAAAAAACGCTAGTAGTTCGCTGGTAGAGTGGTACATGAATTTCAAAAGTTTATATTGCTCGGTATTGTTGACCCAAACTCATCCTGTAACCACAGCCCGACCACATCCCGACCACATCTAAACTGTTTCGCAAATGGTTGAGCAATGATGCAAACCATGACGATGTACTTTCATAACCAGTTCGTAACTTTACATTTTGTTCACATTGTGGTAAGAACAGAGAAAAATGTCATTCATTGTCTTTCAATACGTAAGGCAAGGGCAATCTACAAAGCACCTCTTCCACTGGAGCATCCGCAGGCTTTTCCTGTGCTGTCGAAGGCTGTCAATTTTTTGACCATCCAGCCTATCGGTTTCAAACAACTTTAGAACCATGCCATCTGTTTTTCAAACTGCTGGCATTTTTTTTGAACTATGGTGAAATAACGCAAATTTCACAAGTTTCATAATCAGTTCATACTTATACATATTAGATAAGAATAAGGAGAAAATTCCAATGGTTCCTATTGGTCCGTTAGGGCGACGTTAGGGCGACGTTAGGGCGACGTTAGGGCGCCTCTAGGGCCTTTCCTGCAACTAAACGCCACTTCACAGGCTGTGGCAAACCTCTGGGACCTATATAGTAGGACCAATAGGAACCATTGAAGTGCACCGCCGAAACGGAAATTTTGAATTCACTTTGGACATTGAATTGGACGAGGCACCCAGACCTTGCCACCACCTCGACCACCACAATTTGGCCATGAGGTGAACACTTTGAGCCAACTCAGAGCCAATTTGAAGATAGGTGAAAATGCTGTTTAATTCATGGGGTGGGGATGAGTGGGCAGTGGGTGGGGCTAGAAGGTGGGGCGTTAGGGCGACGTTAGGGCGACGTTAGGGCGCCTCTAGGGCCTTTCCTGCAACTAAACGCCACGTCACAGGCTGTGGCAAACCTCTGGGACCTATATAGTAGGACCAATAGGAACCATTGAAGTGCACCGCCGAAACGGAAATTTTGAATTCACTTTGGACATTGAATTGGACGAGGCACCCAGACCTTGCCACCATCCTCAACCACCACAATTTGGCCATGAGGTGAACACTTTGAGCCAACTCAGAGCCAATTTGAAGATAGGTGAAAATGCTGTTTAATTCATGGGGGTCACTTCCACCTCCCTTAGCACACACTTCCACCTCCCTTAGCACACAGTTCCACCTCCCTTAGCACACACTTCCACCTCCCTTAGCACACACTTCCACCTCCCTTAGCACACACTTCCACCTCCCTTAGCACACACTTCCACCTCCCTTAGCACACACTTCCACCTCCCTTAGCACACACTTCCACCTCCCTTAGCACACACTTCCACCTCCCTTGGCACACACTTCCACCTCCCTTAGCACACACTTCCACCTCCCTTAGCACACACTTCCACCTCCCTTAGCACACACTTCCACCTCCCTTAGCACTGGGTGGGGCTAGAAGGTGGGGCGTTAGGGCGACGTTAGGGCGACGTTAGGGCGACGTTAGGGCGACGTTAGGGCGCCTCTAGGGTCTTTCCTGCAACTAAACGCCACGTCACAGGCTGTGGCAAACCTCTGGGACCTATATAGTAGGACCAATAGGAACCATTGAAGTGCACCGCCGAAACGGAAATTTTGAATTCACTTTAGACATTGAATTGGACGAGGCACCCAGACCTTGCCACCACCTCGACCACCACAATTTGGCCATGAGGTGAACACTTTGAGCCAACTCAGAGCCAATTTGAAGATAGGTGAAAATGCTGTTTAATTCATGGGGTGGGGATGGGTGGGCAGTGGGTGGGGCTAGAAGGTGGGGCGTTAGGGCGACGTTAGGGCGACGTTAGGGCGCCGTTAGGGCGCCTCTAGGGCCTTTCCTGCAACTAAACGCCACGTCACAGGCTGTGGCAAACCTCTGGGACCTATATAGTAGGACCAATAGGAACCATTGAAGTGCACCGCCGAAACGGAAATTTTGAATTCACTTTGGACATTGAATTGGACGAGGCACCCAGACCTTGCCACCTCCTCAACCACCACAATTTGGCCATGAGGTGAACACTTTGAGCCAACTCAGAGCCAATTTGAAGATAGGTGAAAATGCTGTTTAATTCATGGGGTGGGGATGGGTGGGCAGTGGGTGGGGCTAGAAGGTGGGGCGTTAGGGCGACGTTAGGGCGACGTTAGGGCGCCGTTAGGGCGCCTCTAGGGCCTTTCCTGCAACTAAACGCCACGTCACAGGCTGTGGCAAACCTCTGGGACCTATATGCTGAAACTCTTCGAAGAAGATGGAAGCCTTATTTCCAAAGCAAACAAATTTTTGTGATGCTGTCCAAGCTCACAAAAAAGCTGCTCAAGCCTCTGGCATTTTTTCTAGAGTCTGTCTGAAGCAATCTGACAATTTATTTTCAGACAACTCTTAAATCACAAACACTGTGATATTTTTTGGCATTCCAAATTTTTTCACAAATTGCTTGCCAAAACAAACATTCATCACAAGTGATCAAGTCTATGCATCCTGCGGTGTCACTTGCATCAACCTGTTCTGATGTTAAGTTATATGTTACCGCTACTTTGAACATTCAAGGTGTGGGTGGGTAGGGTTCCTCAAACATTTTTATGAGGATTCACAAAGAATTGCATGGGGGTTCTGTTATTTTGAAGTTTGTTGTTGTAACCTTCAACTCATCAACTGTTTTGCATACTTCTTTTCAGACGTCTCATTTTTTGAAACAATTGCAACTGCCGGGTAGTTTTCAGTGCGGGGCATCCATGTGGCGTCGACGAACTACAGTGACTGGCTTGGTTTGCATTGTCTGGACCTTTTTCAGCTTCATGCATGGCTATCAATTGACGTTTTCCAAAGCTTGGAGTCAACTGCCTGCCGAATCACCTGTGGTTTTGCCCTGGGACAGAGGCTGCTGGAAACATGTTGTTGGTGGCAAGAAGTTTTCTAGCATACAGCCTGTAATTTTGAAGCGTCCCATGCCTCCTCCTATTTTGTACAACAGCTCATCTGGAGAACAGCAGCACCATGACAAGCGGCACAGAGCTCAGTCCTCAGATGCAACGTCATGGCATCAAATTGTCAGATCCAGTTGTGATGACAGTTGGACGGAGATGAGGGACTCGAAGTTTCAGATTGCACTTAGAAGATGGCTAGATGTTCTCTTGCAGCTTCCTCCAGAGTGCGGCATTGTCATTCAGTTGAAACAGGTTGGAGACATTTCACATCAGTTGAGGATGTTACGTGATATTTTTGCGAAGAAGGCACCACAGACATTGCTCAAACGATGCCATTCTTTTTTGAGATTCATGTGCCACCTGAAGGACGTTGGAGAGACTTTCCCAGGAACCGAGCCTGGATTCTACAGCTTCCTCTGTGGACTTCGTGATTCAGGTGCGACTACATCCAATTTGCAGAGTGTTGTGCAGGCTTTAAATTTTGCTCAACATGTGATAGGGCTTCCTGAACTTGCAGTTGTCACGACATCAAGACGGTGCATTGGAGCAGTAGGCATGAGGAATGTTGGACCAAAGAGGCAGGCCCATCCTTTTACAGTCAGTGAGCTGCTCGTGCTTCACTCAGTTTTGCTGGACCAGTGTGAAGACTCATGGAACCGTGTTTTTGCTGGCACAGTGCTTTTTTCAGTTTACAGCAGAAGCCGCTGGATGGATATGCAGCATGCGGAAACCATGGAAGTTGACACAGACTTCACTGGATTTACAGCCTACGTGGAGTTGCACATTTCAGTTCACAAATGTCAGGAGTCCACAGCGTTCCGAAATACCTTCTTGACAGCTGTTGCCCCAAATTTGGGAATCACTGCAGATCCTTGGATTCAGGCATGGCTGGATGTCAGGCTCAAGCTTGGGATCGACTTCACGCTGGGCCTACCGACGCTGCCGGCTCCCAACTCAGATGGGCTACCAACAAAAAGGCCCTTGAGTACAGACGAGATGAAGCAGTGGTTGCGTTTGATTCTCAGCTCAAAAGGGGTGAACCTTGATGGGAGACGATTGACATCGCACAGTTGCAAGTGCACATTATTGAGCTGGTTGGCAAAACATGGTGATGACTGGGCCGATCGAATGGCCTTAGGTGGACATGTCTCTTTCATGAAGTCAGCGATTGTTTACAGTCGCGATGCAATGGCGAGACCCATCAGGGTTCTGGAAAAGCTGCTTCTAGATGTCAGGTTGGGCCGTTTTTGCCCTGATGAATCCAGGAGTGGCCGCTTCAAGGACGTCTCGACTGGACATGCTGACATTGGCAGTGACTTTGCAGATGTTGGTTTTGGTGACAACAGTTTGGACCTGGTTGGACCGGTGCAACCGAACAAGTTGGACGATGACATCATAGTCATTGACAGTGATGAAGCCGAGACAAACGATGTCAAACATGAGACCGCTGGTGGTAGCAGTTCAGACTCAGATGTCCTCACAACTTCGTCCAGCGAAGATGAAGCAGGGGCCCGTTGTTCTGGTGCCTCGAGGGTGATGCGTCTGCCAACGGTTCCAGACTCCTTGAAGCTCATTCAACACACCAAGTACAAGACTCTGCATTTGATGGAGAAACAAAACGAAAAGATCATGCTTTGTGGCCGTGCAATTGTGCAGGGGCGATATGATGTTGCGAACGAGGCGCGATTTGATACGCCATGTTGCCATCAGTGCTGGAAGCACAAACCAGAATACGACACTTGACCTTCGGCGCCTTGCACTTGGGTATAAAATTGTGTGAGTGAACTTCGTGTCAAACTGTATCATAGTTGCAATCTCAAAATCAAAATGTCCAGCAACAGACACATGTGAAGTGAAACGTTTATGGTTCCTGGAGGCTTCATGGATGACACCATCTCCAAACTTTGAACCAATCAGAGTTAGAATGTCACTTCGGTCATGTGAATTTGCTTGCATTGTTTTTTGGGCTTTTGAGTTGCAACATTTGCTGTGACACGTTGTGCAATCGCTCACATGAATCAATACACATTTCAGTCCGTCTTTTTCTCAGGCACTAAAGTGCTGGCGGGTAAAACCTGATGTGGCAAGAATTTTTTATGCACCACAAAAGTCGCTGAACCTTATTGGAGCCAAGACAAGAGCATGAATCTTTTGATGGAACTCGACGTTTTTTTCACTATAAAATAGTGATCGTTTTTTGGCAACAATGATCACCGTGTAGCGATGGAATCATTTTTGTCTTTTGGTAACGTCATGAAGTTCCACCCATTTATCAAAAGGTCATAAAACCAGAGCACAGAAAAACAAATCAAGTGTAGGCCCATCAGAAAGAAACATAGCACGGAAAAATGCTAATCAAGTTTGAACCGTCGGACACGTTGCGTAGTAGGGCATGGCTCTGGTGGACTCAGTAGCATCGTTTGAGAAGAGATGCAATGAATTACGGGATGGTCTTCATGGTGTTTTTGGTGATGCTGGCATCACAACGTTTTCTACATTGGCCTTTGCTGTGGGAACTCCTCAGAGTGCACCAGCTGACGATGACATGCAGAGGTTCACAGACCGCTTGATGGGCGGCCCGGCCACTTTGGCCGACCTTGCTGTGGTCAAGCGCATTCACTTTGAAGCAGTGACATTGGTGATGGTCGATTTGCAACAACATTCCTCTGCCCAGGACCTGTCAGAACCTGGGCGCAGTTTGCCATTTGTCGAGAAGCAAAGACGTCTCGCTGTGCAGCAGGCCAAGATCACGGGCATCAGCCATCGCCATGAGCAACAGGCGTCACATGCGCTGATCGATGCATGTTTCCAGATGGTGGAAAGTGGATCCCTGGTGTACCTTGCACCATCGAAGTGTGGGACCAGAGATCAAGAGATACAACAAGATACAAAAACAAAACAGAAGCAGTTGGTGACGATCGAACAGGGGGCCTTGAAGGCCATCGCCAGCCAGAGTTTGGCTACCATAGACGTGGGCACCGAATTGCGATTGATGTACGCCCTGCAAAGGCGTGGGTTAGCAATGGATCTGGTGGGTCTCATCTCTTGGGACACGCACACCGATTGGAGCAACAAGCTCTTTCGGGCCCTCATGGCAGACACAGTGCCAAACTTCAACCCCATCACGATTGACCAGCTGCTCCGTGCAGACCAAGAAATGTTCCTCCTCCTTGCACGGGTCCATTAAAGGCTCCATCAGCTGACCAAGATCCTCCACTTGACCAGGAGGTACGCCGCCTGATGAATGACCCTAGGGTCAATGTGCACCTCACTCCAATTCAGAGGATTGAGAAAAGAGCGGCACCAGCTACAACGCCGGTACAAGGATCTCCAAACAGGAACAACTTCAACAAGAAGCAAAAGACGGATGCCCCAAAGGCACCGAGCCAAGTGCCGGCTGAGTTGCAGGGTCTCCATACAAAAACCAAGGATGGAAAGCCGATTTGCTGGCACAAGAACATGAAAAAGGGATGCCGCAACGCAACGAAAAATGGCCGATGCCGTTTTGGGTATCATACGTGCATGAAATGTTTGAAGCCGGGCCATGGTGCGGCAGATTGCCATGGCGAAAAGGCTTCTTGACAAAATAGAGATCGCAGTCGGAGTCCTTGCAGACCTTTGGCCAAGCCGTTGGGCGAGCAGGACACCACGATGCATGGCAATTTGGACTCCAAGCCGAAACCTCACGGCAAAGAGCTTGCTGGTGGATGCGATTTGCAAACAAGTCAGTCAACTGCTTCCACAAAAGAAATTTTTGGACCCTCAGCTGAGTTTGTTAGCGAGGGTCCCTGTTTGAAGAATTCAAAGCGGTCCTGTTTGATTTTGGAAATTTTTTCTGGCAGCTGCCGACTATCTCGAGCATGCAGAGATGCAGGATTCAGAGTGACAGCTGTTGACAAAGATGAAACAAGGGCTGAAAATTTTGCTATTTACAAGTGTGATGTCACGAACTCAGAGGACTTCGCACTACTTTTGCAATACATCGAGGCTGAAAAGGAAGAGCTCTTGCACGTGCATTTTGCACCGAGCTGCGGAACAGCGTCCAGGGCGCGTGAGAAAGCGCCTGGACCTCCACCCTTGCGATCAGACACGTTTCCGGACGGTCTGCCAGGACTGAGCGAGCAAAACAAAGCAAGGGTCAATGCTGCAAATCAAAGTTACATTGCTATGTTGTCTTTGGCAAAATTCGTAATTTCATTGAATGTCAGCATTAGTATTGAAAATCCCAAGAACTCACTTTTCTGGAAGTGTTCTTTTGTTCGCAAATTTCTGGATGATTTGCCTCAATTTCATATTTGTGAGTTTCAACATTGCATGCATGGAGGGAAACGCAACAAGTTCACACATTGGTTGAGTTGCAATCCTCGAAATCTGGAGCGAGACATGTTTGAGTCTTTGCATTTATTGTGCGATCAGCAACATCAACACGCCAGCTGGGCGCCTTACATTGATGAGACGGGAAAACAAATTTTTCCAACGGCAGGTGAAGCGGCTTACCCAGAACTGTTGTGTCATCGAATAGCTTGCATTTTGAAAGAAGAAGCAGTCAAATACAATTTTCATTTTCCATCTGATTTGACAGAACAACTGGATAACCATCCGAACCTGGCCAAACGACAAATATTTACAACACAACCACGTGGCAAGCGTCTCAGACCGTTGGTATCGGAATTTCAAGCCTATCGTTCTATTCTCTTTCCATTGAATTCTGAACACATCATTCAAGAAGTTTTACAGAACCTACCAAAAGGTTCACGCATTTGTCATCGTTCTCTCACCAATGGGGGTATTTCCTGGGATGACAATTCAGCCAGTGCAGCGGGCCTGACAGCGCATGACAGCTGGAGTGATGGGCAGCCAGGAGAAATCTTGCATTTTGGAATACCAAGAAAACCTGAAGATTTCATTCGAGAAGCAGTTGCAAAAGGGCATCCGAGGGATGTGGTCGCCAGAGTGCCGACTACAGTTCGAGCGTTGCTAAGAGACTTGGTGCATGGCAGGCCCGAAAGACGCTTTGCCAAGCGCGCTTCCTTCATGAAGAAATGGCTAAAGCGCTCCTTGGAACTGAGAGCGGATGAAGAACAGCTCCATCAAAGCATGCCCACTCACTTGCGCACGATCCTCAAGGGGAAGCGCCTATTGCTGCTCAAAGAGATTCTGCTTGATTTAAACTATCCAGATGTTGGAATAGTGGACGATATAATATCAGGTTTCCAGCTCACAGGATGGGCGCCCAAAACTGGAGTGTTCGAACCTGACGTTCGACGACCTCAACTTTCAGTGGAACAACTGGTCAAGATGGCCCCTGGGATAAATGCTCGGATCATCAGGTCAGTAGAAGAGGCTCCAGCAGATCAGACAACAGACCATGTATGGGCGGAAACTTGGGCTGAAGTTGAAAAGGGATGGTTGAAACCGGCATCTTCCTCCAAGAACTGCTCAGTTGCTAAGCGATTTGGCCTGCAACAGAAATCCAAAGTCAGGATGATTGACGATTTCAGCGTCAGCCGGATAAACCACACGTATGGCATGCGTGAAAGACTTCGAGTGCAGGCTGTAGACGAACTCTGTGCGTATCTGGCAACCTTGCTTGATGATCACCAAGATGGCAATATTCCAAAGTTGAAAGGCAGAACGTTTGACTTGCGTTCAGCCTACAAGCAGTTTGGAGTTGACAAGTGGCACTCCGATTTCTTGCAAGTTTGTGTAAAGAACCCGAAGGGAGGCCATGGCTTATTTGGAGTAACTGCATTACCTTTTGGAGCCACGGGAAGTGTGACCAGTTTTCTCCGTGTATCAAACGCCTTGGCGCACATTGGCCACCATGGACTAGATCTGATCTGGTCTGCTTTCTTTGATGACTACACTGCCATATGCACTGATACCGAAGAGGACAACGTGACCTTTTACATTGAAGCGCTTTTTCGCATGCTTGGTTTTGATTTTGCAACTGAAGGGGACAAAGCGCCCCCATTCAATGAGACGTTCAAGACACTGGGTCTCGAATTCGATTTAAAGAATATCTGCAGTGGGAGCTTTTGCTTACAGCACACTGAGAGCCGCAGAGCTGAGTTGGTCGCGACCATTAACTCTTTGATAGCAAAAGGCAACACCACTCCGAAGGAGCTTGAACGTCTACATGGCAGACTGGTATGGTTTAATGCATTTGTTTTTGGAAGAAAGATGAATCATGCTGTAAAAATTCTTTCACTTGCGTGTCATTCCACTGAGAAGACCTTGCGTTTGGCAGGGGAGTTGCGAGGGGCTCTAGCAAGTTTGCAGGGATTGCTTGTTGAAAGCCGACCGTTGGTGATCAATAAATCGCTTTGTACAGCTTGGATTATTTTCACGGATGGAGCCTATGAACCGACCTCCGACCGTCCTGCAACGGTGGGTGGCATTCTCATTAGCCCATGCGGCGTGGCAACATCATATTTTGGAGAAGAGCTTGAACAAACTTTGCTTGATAAACTTTTGGTTGATTCGCAACACCCAATATATGAGCTAGAAGTCCTTCCTCCACTTCTAGCCATCAGTGCTTGGAGCCATTTCATTTCAGGATCACCTGTGGTCTTCTATTTAGACAACGACGCAGCCAGGTCAGCGTATATCCAGGGTGTTGGAGCAACTAGGTTTGCCAGAGTGTTTACCAAAAACTTTGTTGGTCTTGAGAGTCGCTTTAGAATCTTGTCATGGTTCGGACGCGTGCCGAGTCACAGCAACCCCTCAGACAAGCCTTCGCG